CTATCATTACCTATCTTTAGATTAACTTTGAAATAATAGTAGATATATTCTTGTTAATAAATCTTTTAAAGACTCTCCCAAATATTGCTTTAAACATGTGGTTACTTCTATCATGTGTTTTTGTAATATTAGGTTTAATACTCGCTCTCACCTCAGAACTCACACCAAAAAGGTAACAATATTTAAAAGAGAATTTTTATATGTAAAATTCAGAACTATGGTTGATGTTGCTAATAGGGAGGTGTTGATATATGAGAAGTTGATAATAAAGAGGGGTCACTGTAATTAAAAAAAATAAAATATATGTAAATAAAAAGATATTAATTATTTATTATATTATATAATTATGATTTATTTTTCTATATTTATATTATATTAATTAAAAAAGATTATCTATTAAATACAGATAATTTATCAAAATAAACATTATGAAATATATATATTTTTAATATAAATACTTTATATCTACAAAATAAAATTTAAAATTACTTAGCTTGATTAATATAAAAATAAAAAAGCTTGAACTAATTGAAAGATTCATATATAATATAAATAAATATAAGAATTCAAAAAAATATAATATGAATCAGTACAAAAAGATTGATACATCAATATAAAATTAATGATTACTTCTAATAAAAATTACTCAAATTTTAACTAATCTTTATGATTTTTTTATATTAAATAAAGAATGATCTAAATTAACTTTTTATACTATTTTAATTATTATATTATACTTTAATTTAATAATAAATAAAGCATTACTTTACTAAAAAAACTAAAATAAAATTATTTTTTTTAAAAAAAAGACATTTTAAATATATCGCTATTAATTTGTAAGATTAGAACTTTAAACTATGCAATTGATTGAAAAATAAGTGCGAATATATTCAGATGCGGAAGCATCCTCACTTCGTGAACCACGAAAAAACAAAGCATGTAATTATATATACATCATATTATCCGATACGCATCTCGGCAGGCGATCATTCCCGACTCGGATCGCGCTTCGGATGATGTATTGCATCAAACTCCGGTTCTCCCAGTTGGTAATTCACATCACTCCCAGCTCGTAATATTCGGATCGCGCTTCTATTTTTAGTAGGTATGTGGTGAAAAGTCATTGTGAACCCCCAAGTTCTGGTGCTTCGTTGGAGAGTGAATACTTCGAAAGATTTTGAAGCAAAAGTTGCGAAGAAAAAACACCCGAAATCAAATTCTCAACAATTTTCGAAATATATAGACATTTGCTAAACACCCATTGAGGGGATCATGTGCGTAGGTTATGTATTAGCCACAATGCAATTTTAACAGCACATTAATCCGACGAACAGTTACACACCAAACGTAGCATACACGAGTTAACAAAACTTTATTACATGCATACATGGTGAATGCTAATAATACGGCTTACGATCAAAAAGAACACATCACATGAGCAAGTTTCCCCCACACACAAAGTTTGTACCAAACACTATTTACTTCTTTTCTTTTTCATTAATTACATCTTTAGTACCCTCTTTCTGTGGAGTCACAAATGTCTTTGATATAACGGTCCTAGGAGGTGTGTGATATCCATCTTGATCATCAGAATCATTGAGAAAATTTTCGAGATCAACATCATCTTTCTTGTTTATTATACCGAATGTCTGCATTATGATAGATTTCGCACATAGTATTTCTTTTAGAACAAAAGCAAGCGGTTTAGATTTTGATAGACGACCAGCGATTTCATAGACCTTTCTGCGTTGAATACGAGTAATATATCCCTTAGGGAGGTCAACTGTCATGACCTGAATTCTGTTTGCTCCATTAAGTATTCCGACTACTTGTAATTTCCTCACGAGGTCTTCTTTCATATCACATTCAATGGCAAGCTGGTTTAACATATCTTTTAACATTTTACATATTTTTAACGAATCTGTCATATATTTGGTTCCACTCTTCCCTTCCCATTTTCGACCCGTTTCTATTGCACCAAACTCTAAACGATCCTTGCGTAATCTGAATACTCCATCGCCTTTTCGGCCAAGCTTCTTTCGATCATTTGTTGCTCTGGTAAGGTTTTTTCTATCACTTGATGCGTAACTCATACTCTCGCCACGCACTAAATCAATATTGAGGTTGTCAAAAGCTGGGTCAATTACCCGACTCCACATGTTCATTTCGTACCAGCCTTCTAATAAAGAGTCAATAATAGGGTTTTCATCCATTTCCCACAAACGTAAAATTCCTCGATAAGCACCATTAATAAAATCAAGATCAAAATGATGTTTCCGATCATATTTGCATCCATCCGGTATAAATGGTTCAAAAAGAACATCACGTAGTCTCTCAAAATTATCAACTGTATATTTTTTCAGTAGGCTTACAAGAGAATTCTCAAGTTTTGGTTTATCCTTAGTCACTGAGGTGGTGATTTCCTTCCACTCCTCATCTGAAAATAGTGATTTGGTGACCACATCGATGTCATTGATCATAAATGAGTGTAAATATGACTCTTCGGGAAGATTTCTGGCGAATTGATAAATAACTTCTTCTACTTTACGACCACTTTTCAGCAACCACATATGATTGTGATCTAATTCCAAGTACGCTCCCTCGAATTTTTTCAGGTAATCCTCGATAGGTAATGTTTCATTGGTTGATTGCATAGGTAATGTTTCATTGGTTGATTGCATAAGTGATGTTTCGCTGGTTGATTGTTCCAGAAGGTCTATATTTTCTTCATCGTTACCTTCATCAACATTATGATCCAAGTTTTTGTAATCTATTCGGGGACGTTTTGGGATCTCGTAACCACTCGGTGCATAACAAGCTTTTGCTGTTGCACTTGTAACATTCCTCGCTACATCTTCGATTTTACGCTAATAATTACAATGTATAAGAGGGAAGATAGACAGTAAATTAATTCAGAGCCAAGTAAGGCAGAATACCTTATTAATATTTTCATTGATCTTATTTTCAACTGTAGCCCGTAGTATTGCTTCTTGATGCTCCTTCCAAATCGTCGAGACAATAGACTTACTGGAGTTTTTTAGCTTCAAAAGTTCAGAAAGAAAGACTGTAAGTAAATGCTAAATATAGATGATAAATATCAAAATTGATTGTGCAGTCACACATGCTATAGTGGGATTAGGTCCAGACCATAACATGCTACCCACTTCAGGCAAGCAGAAGAATGCCCGTCAATCGATAGAAACCGCAGGGTACGGCTTACGCAATCTTGACAACAGAGTATAAAACGAACCTTCAGTTGTTTCCTGATCGCTTTTGCCTTGCACCATTCACGACTATTTTCAGAAAAGTGATTAAGGAGTGTTTCAAGTTCACTCGCTAGTGTTTTATGTGCTACATCGCATGACGAGCCGGGCATTTCATTGATAAAATAGAGATCCCAATCCGCTACGCTTCCCCATAATGTGGAATCTCTTTCCCAGTACTCTGATAGGAGAAAATACACATAACGTTTGCTAGTGTGAAATGAAGGATATCACGAACTTACCTGGGTAACTAAGTTTTTTTTCGATCTCGGGTGTAAGTAAAGATTGAGATTTGATCATGTACGGAACGAAAATTTTTATGACAAAAGAAATCGATTGTTGCACAGTCTCTATTATTCTATTTATCGACGATTATATGTCACATGATAATCGATCATAAATAATTGTGACATCTTTTTTGTGCACATATGTAACTAATAATGATATAATAACAAATTTAGTAGAAAAAATAATTTTTTTTCTATATAAATTCTTATTTTTTCTCTTTTTTTATTTTTTATTTCTCTCTCTTTTTATTACTTATTTTATTTGAATAAATTCTTAGTTGATTTATATAATTTTTTGAGTTACAGTGATGATCAAAAATAATAACTCAGAGATTAAATTTATTAATAAAACATAGTGAAAATTGAAATTTTTTCTTTATATTAAAATTTATAATTTTATTAAGAAATAATTTTTATTTTTATATTAAAATAAAGTTTATTA